GGTTCACACGTTATAACTCTCCTGGAGAAATCCTGGATATTTCTTCCCGAATACTTCCTTCGAGTTCATGTCATGTGTGAGGATTTCTTTTGCACACCTTGTCTTTCAAACTACTCCACAAACAGAAATCACACCACTTCAACACCGGGGAACGAACTGGCCATATGCTTGATCAAATCTCGAGAATTCAGTAAAATATTTTACTTATGTAGACTACGCATTAAAATAACAGCTTTATAAGGACGAGGAAAAGTCTCCCTTACTCATTGATCCAAGTTAGTTACGTTAACTGAAAATCGATTCTGTGGAACATCCAAAATTTTTCCATATTTCATGGCAGTAGGGGCCCCACAACACGACACACTTTTTTTGTTCAAACTCCTAACTTTATATTACGACTTGTTAACTATTAATTGACTTAAAAGTTTAAGCAAAATAGTAAATTTTGAACAGTTTTTTATGTGGCCATTCAACGTAATATCATAATCAGAACTCCCCATATTAAGTGCAAGACTAACAAACAAAATTTCTGGGATACGAACTCTACGGAATGACACTAAACCCCATGTTACTTCAAGTTATCAAACCTTATTACATGCATTTTAATAATGTATTTAATATTATCATTTCGGTATTGCAAGGGCTTTAACCAATCAAATTTTACACACGTTTCTTCTCCTTCACATGGTAATCTACTTCACTGAAATATCCTAACAACATTCAGAAAAGAATAGAATTCATATAATTATCATATTACTTAATGACCTCCACTTCCCCACTTAACTAGTATCTTTTGGTCTGAATATTTATCAAGGTATCTTGTATTAAAGTGCTTGCTGTTTGTGGTGTTCCTTCCCGAGTGATCAACTACGTTTTATACCAGAAAGGAATATAATTACTTTTTATAAAATCATGTTTGATCAAATCATTTTAACGAGTCGAATCCAGCGTACAGGTTATGTTAGCACATTGCAAGGACAGAGTAACAGGAAACACACTATGTAACATTAACCAAGCCGAAATCAACAACAGCTGCAGTTCTAACGTTAGTCACTACGTCTGCACCATATAAACACCGATTTCTTTGTAAATTGACACTCAGCATAAAATTAACCACAGAACAAAAACATAATATGCAAGCTATACGACCCAAAAAATACCGAAAATCAGGTATATTATTCAGCAAAAACTTCGCACTGGTACAAAGCAGCCATGATGTATATATCGATAAAGCTAGCGATCGAACTGCGGTTTCACTGCCATCTGTCAACCTTTCAATCAACAACTCAAATGTGAGCGTTTAGCATGTATTAGATATCAACATATTTTTACAATGTGACACACGTACAATTCCCAAACTAAGGTAGAAGCATTGATTTAAAGTGAATGGCAACGGGGAATATTGTAAATGTGTCAGCGTTATTTAAATTTTAAAAATTAACACAGGAGCTTCCATAATTAAATTTTATTACAAATTTGTAACAAGAGTTTTAACGGGAAAGATGTCTTCTTTAAACCCTTTTTAATTCGAATCATGAGAGAAATTTTAATTTCTGACGCTGAAGACCGCAGTAACGTTTGTCAAGATATTTATAATTTCATAAAAAAGACCATCTGCAGTCAGATGTGCAGCAGGAGGGGCAGATTAGACATTCCCTGTATGCTTTTACTTTATTCGCCACAAAAGAAATCATAAATAACTTATTTAAAACAATGATACACTACACAAGAATTTTAATACAATTAAAAGTTGTTCATGAGTTCAAAATTTTGAACACTGAGACGGACTCGCATGTCAACGTTATGAATTAATCTCACACGATTTGTATGATCTGATACTCAAGAGATTTGCACATAAATAAAACTTGGGCGTTTGCCCCATCTTTTTGTAGACCTGAAGATATAAATTAATATCAGAGCAGGGCACTTCAAATGGAGCTGTGAAAATAACCACCATGTATCTGTGAATAGTAAGATGTTAACTTATTCTTTTTCAGGTACATCAATATATTTTAAAATGGCTGTACCGATGCTTAATCAGTGTTGCTGTGGCTGCACGTTGAAGACGGGCTCAATCATAATAGGAACTCTGAATGCAGTGAGTAATTGATTTGCGACTATTTTTAACCCTAAATTATGGGTGTCTTGAAAAGTGGCTGCTGACGAAAATAATTGGACGAAAGACGGAGGAAGTAACAGGAGAACAAAAATATTGATTAATGAGGTTTTTCGTAATTTTTCTCTTCATTATTATTATTATCATCATCATCACCATTAAATGAAAGAGGATGAAATGGGTAGACCATTTCATGAGGAAGATAAGAAACGCTTATAAATATTTAATTTTAAAATCTGAAGGGAAGAGATAACTTGAGAGATCTAACCGGATATCGGAGGATAATTTAAGAATTAATATTATAGATACAGTGTGGTGGTGTCGCCGGATTAATTTAGCTCGAGAGAAGGTCCAGTGACGGTTTCTGACAAGCACTTCTTTTCTTTTTCAACAGGTATTTTCGGGCATTTACTTTATTACAGGTATTATTACTGCAGGTGTAGCTGCGAACGCAGCGAATTCACCGAATTCGGCACAAGAAAATTCGGATACTTGGAGCAGTAAGTCATAAATTACAATAATTTGAATTATAGATGAGAGTATCCAAGCAGACTAATATAGCAGAACGCTGAAGGTATGCATGATGAACGCACATTTCAATTTCTCACACGTAGCTGCTGCAATGCGCCTTACATTTGGACGTGTTCAGTAACAGAGTTAATGAGTTAAAGGGGTGTGTGAGTGTGTGTTATTTAAGCTAAAACTCAAATATTTAATGAACTCCCATAACTCACACTCTTCCCCTCACTATCCCTTACGCTCTGTTCAGTGTCCACCAATTCATGTTCTGTGAGGCGTTGTTTTAAATGCCTGATGCAATGTGATACGTTTTATAATATGAAAGTAGTTAACATTTTTTAATAACATACTTATTTGTAAGATTTGAGGTTTTCACAGCGATGAGTATGAAGATTTCTGTCTTCTGGGTTGTTACGCTGTGTTGTCTGGTCGATGGTTGCCAACATCGACCAGACTACACGGCGCAACAACCCAGAAGACAGAAATCTTCATACTCATCGCCCTGATGACGGAGGCAGTATGATCTCTGAAACGTTGGTGGAAATCTACCAGACTACACAGCGTAACAACCCAGAAGACAGAAATCTTCATAGCGTAGATAACTTAGAAAGAATCGCCCTGATGACGGAGGCAGTATGACCCCTGAAACGTTGGTAAACATCGACCAGACTACACAGCGCAACAACCCAGAAGACAAAAATCTTCAACATACTTATTTGTCATTTTCCGATAAAATTTGTATCTAACAAAGTAAAATAAAAACTATTTGATTTAATATTGGAGATGTTGTTCAACACTCATTTATCATACTCTTTTATCGATCAATAATAATAATTAAAGAAAGAAATACACTCTGTGCGAAAAATGCAGAGGTATATGTGAAAGTATGTGGTACATATATATACCATTTGCTTCAAACGGTTAAAGCAAAGGACGTTAGTGTTGCTTCTCTTTTTTACATATCAAAACTTACTTCTATACAATCAGAAATATAACTATAATAAATTTGACATTATTACCTTCGCAAGAAGATAACATGGGAATAATATTGCTTCAAACGGTTAATGGGACCATAGACATGCACGCTTTCTGGCGCATTTACTCGGCAGTACAGTATGCCTTAAAATAAAGAAGTTACAACAATTACCAACATTAGGGCCTATCGATTTTATTTGCTTGCAGGTATCGAGGCGGTTTACATAGCATACGCGGTGTTTGCTGCTGTGTTGTGCCTGGTTGCCGTCTGTCTCATTGTCGGAGCAGTGAATGTAAGCGACATCTTGTGAGATTTCAGGTTCTCACGGCATCGAGTATGAAGATGATGGAGATAGCAAGCAACTCTGAAACGTCGGTAAATTTCTACCAGACTACATAGCGCAGTAACCTAGAAGACAGTCATCTTTATACTCGCCGCCGTGAGAACCTGAAATACTACTTGTTACTTAGTGTTCGTAATTTTGATATAGCGACTACATTATGTTCGCCTGTTCAAAAGATGATGTGGTCAAACGCAATGTTATTTGACCCTGTCCGTATATTCGCTATTCAGCTTTGCGGAATTTATTTCGTGACACCTTGTGTTCCGATCACAGTTTAAACAAAATCATCTCTTGCAATATTAACATTACGTGAATTCTAAATTCAGTTTTGTTTTACAGGGCAATCCAGTGCTTCTGTTACCATGGTTAGGATATGCTTCTGTATCCATAATAATAAACTTCATTCTGAGCATCGTAAATGCTGCATATTATATCAGTCTTTCCTACGCGGCAAATGGTGTCTTGTTTCTCTTAGGAGGCTTCATAGGAGTATGTAAGTATAAAAGCTAAATTATTTTTTGTTTGCCACGGTGGTCTGGCGGTTAGAACGCTGGCCTTTTAATCCTGGGTTCTCGGGTTCGATTCCCGGCGGTGCCCGAATTTATAACTTGTGTTGGGCAAGGCCGTGGTCTAGGCAACACGGAGTTTTCTTCCGGGGGCTTCCCCGGTTTCTCCGTGGCATCCCAACAATTACTTCATTCACACACTGAAGAAGGCAATGGCAAACCACTTCTGGATCATCTGCCAAGAACGTATATGAACAGGTCCCAGTCCGAGAAAATGATGGAAGGATCCTGTTCATATGGACCTGTCGTCAGAGAGAACACTAAAAACAAACATAAAAATAAATCCTGGATTGAGTTCATTCCATAACTCACAGTCGTTATTTTTATTAGTCAGATATGAAAGGAAAGAATTTTCATAAATCAAGTTAAGAAATTAACTATGGAAAATCTGTAAGTATGTATCATAGTGTGCTGGATGATACGAGTCTTTTTCATATACAGCGCGTGAACTGATAGAGTTTAAAGCAAATATCACTTACCGGCTCTCAGTAGGAATCGCAAACAGACGCAAGTTTTTTTTTTTGCTGACTGAAATCGGGAAAACCTTTTAGTGCTTGCCGGCGAGTCACGTAGCTCTAGCCGATAAGCCGAAAAGTGGCAGTTGCGTCCAACTTTACCAGTGAACGCACTATATACATGAGATTCTAAATCTTTCTGATTGATCGTAAAACACGTGACACAGATTTGCTGACGAATGTGTGATATTATGACAACTACGTTCACTGTATACTCCCAATCTTCATGAACGATAAATTAAATCCTTAGGATTGGTTGCTTACCTGCATCGAAGCACCCCTCTTCGGCCGTGTATATTGCGTTTCTGAAAAAAATAAAAAACGAAATAGAAAACCTGTGGTTGATGAAGACCTGGGACCTTAGGCAATATCATTGACAGGAACACCCAAAATCGCATAATATATATTCCAAGACAGGAAGTGCTAGGACTCAAAATGTCTTACGACAATGTGACAATCACAAGCACAAACGGAGTAGTTCAGTTATACCATTTTTATGCTTTCTACAGGTCTTGAAATCTACTTTATTCTTGTGGTATACAGTTTCTACAGACAGCTGAAAGGTACGGGGCCATCTCTACCATAATGGATCACGGTGAGTTAAAAAATATTCCTTCCATTAAAGACAGAATTAATGAAATACGACTGAAATAACGAAGGGCTTCATAATTTGTACTCTTCACCAAATAGCAGGCTCTATTAGGGTTATCAGTTCAGTGAAGTCGTACACTGAACCAGAAAAAAGCAATCCACACCCTTCAAACCTATTTAATTAAGATATATTTCCAACCAAAATTGTTTAAGCATTTCTTATCTTTCCCATGAGTGCTGTATGTCAATCCATCTTATTCTCCTTGATTTCATCTTAATAAGGTTTAGTGAAAAGTAGCTTCTCATTAAACATGAAGTACATGAATCCTATAAAATGTTTTTTACAGTTAAAACAGAGCAGACTGAGAAGTAAATATGTTACTTATGATAAGTCCTATTGCCTCCATGTTTGTTTAATAAAATATAACCTTTTTTTAGCATTTATCTTTTGAACACAATCTAACAAATTCTCGTGTTTTCAGGCTTCGACACATATTTAATTTTCGTTGTGTGTAACAAGAGTCTTCTGGTGAAAGCAGCATATAAATCAGCTCCGTGTTTCAGCCCTTTAACTCCGCCTTGGCTCAAGATATTCCTGTCAATATTGATCTGTATATTGAATAATCCACTGGAGATGAAACACAGTAAAAGAAATCCATCTCCAGCCATCTTGTTACTTCCTTCTGCTTCTGCCCAATTATTCCCCTCAAAACACTGTTCCCAAACACCCTCGATGCATTTCTTCATTTAGCGACATAAAACTTTATACTTGACTTATAATAAATACAACATTTTACACAATTACTAACGATCACTAAAGGCGAACAAATGACTGTACACTACCTTGATACGGATCATAATCACAAAAATGTTGCCGTATGTAGCGTAAGACTACATTTTGGCACAGAATGCCAAAAACTAGGCACAGTAAACTGGGGCTTTCGCTAATAACCGATCAAATCGTATTCTTGATTATGATTTTGATGTGTTCAACGACACTATTTCAACTACAGACGTTATGCAGCATCGAACTGCATTAGAACAGGGGTTCTCAACATTTTTCGCTGGCGTACCACTAATTCTAATTTAACACATTAAATGTACCACTAACCAAATGCGTTTAGAGAAAACTGGTATTTATGTTAATATTAACTTTTGATTTTCTTTCTTAGTTCTCGTACCACTCAACATTGGCTCGCGTACCATAGGTTGATAAACGCTGCATTAGAAGAAGATTATGTCTTGTGAGTAGATAAGGATTTCCAAGAACCGTGTGAAGGACTTAGTTACGTCCGAAATGCAAGAATGCTATAAAAGCAATGTCAACCACCTCCGTAATTAAATTATCGTCAAAGCAAACTTTTACACGACGACCAGCTGTCGTTTGTTTAAAGATAAAACCTTTATTGACTCGCAGATAGGCGTAGCAGGTATCACAGGGCAAGGCAAGGAATTTATCATGTGCAACATTAGCTACATTATGTGAAAAAAATAGGTCACCAAAAATATCTTCCATGATCTAAAGTTTTCACGGTTATATAAAATAACATATGGCTATCAGTAGTGTAAGAAGTGAATAAGTTATTAAGCATTGATAAAAGTCCTAACTTGCAAACCATAGAAGCCTACTAGAATTTTCTCTTAGTTCTAAATTAACAACAGTCCGTTTGCACGGGGAAATAAATGTGTCATTATATTGGATAAAATATATCTTAACGCAGCCGTGACCAAACTCCATGCATCCATGTCGGTCTACAGCTTATCTGTTATTAAAATGGACTCAAACTGGCATTTCTTTTTGGTTGCGATCCACAGTGCCGCTTACTGTAACCCTGTTCACATGCTTTATAGCGATTTTCCAGAGGATTCGATATTTAAACCGAGTTTAATGAGTCACAAATACATATCTAATGCACATCTCACTTCCTTCATTTTTAGAGTAGGCCTGTAGTTTTACTTGGTGGTTTGGGTACACCTTTAGGAATGTTTTATAATGGAAGCTGCACAACCTGTTTATGTAACTATATCGGCAGTTGTAAATTTAATTACGTAACGCTGTTACTGTCAACTATACCACAGTGTTGCACCCTACGGCCTTACTGACTCAGAAATCTGACTTTTTCTGAAATGTCTAATTCGATAATTAGAAATTTCTTGAAAATATAACTTCCTGAAGAAAATTAATACTATCTCCGAAACGTTTCAGATTTATACCAACACTGCACAGGTACTTGCTGCCTCCATCATCAGGGTGACGACTCTTTGAATTTATATGTACGAGTTTAGAAGCCTTCTAATACCTCCATCCTTGTATCTCTTACTTTAATAATGTAAAAATAAATCAGTTTCGAATGACTTTTATCTGTCTCCTCTTTCATTTTACCGTGATTTTGTCCTGCATTTTGTTGACAAGACACATATATTTAGTTCACATTTTCAAATATCTTACTTATTATCTACCTATTTAACGTGTCTGTCAGACATGCAACGGTATTCCGAACATAAAGGAAACAAACAAAAGGTTATCGAAAATGTCTAGACAATAGAAAACATGGTTGTTGTTTAAAGGTCATTGAGCAACAACGATCGAGCCGACTTAACAAATCGCATTTTGTAGACAAGATTGTTGCTCCAGAGAACAAATAACATATTACTGACCATTTCGTGGAGATGAGGCCGCCATTGCTCTTCGCCCACGGCAGAGGATTATCTTTCCTGATATCAGCAAATAATCTACTGATTACATGCAGTGTTCAGTCTTGTTGATTTCCGATACTTTGCGACAATTCCTAGCAGGTGAATGTCGTCTTTAGTTAAACTGATAGTTCAACAGACTGAGGATTTCTGTAAGAGATAATTCTTGGTATTGTGCGCTGAAAAACTCATTAAGGTACTGTGAGAAGTCATTACATTGCTTACACTTTCAAAATGCATACACGCACTGTACACAGATAGACATACATATATGCATACGTAAACATCCATAACATATATTGAATGCAGCAATACATTTCAATTTTCATTGATAAACTATGCATGCACTAGAATATTGTATAAAAATATGTGAAAAACAATTTTTGTTAGTGAAAAAAGGCAGACTCCGTCTAAATAACACCTTAGACAACTTAAAATGATACGCTGACCAGTAGTGTTAAATTGGGAATTTCTTAGAATTATAGACCAACTGAGTGAAAAGATAAACGCAAAGTTTGTATTTTAAAATGCTACTGATGTTTAACGAAAAAATAAATGTGGTAATGAAATTGTATAATCATGTTAATAAAATACAGACCTACATAAAAATACTAGAGAAATTGCCCGTCGAGAATGATGGTGAAATCTAAAAAAAATGCCTTTATAACACATTGTATTGAAAAGTGTAAAAAAGCAGCAACTAAAATTAAGGTCATTATTAATCTTTCCTTAATTACGAAATGTCCTAATCGTTAGCACTTAAACTTTGTCGCATTGTGTAGAAGTACATGTACACAGGAGGTCATTGATGAGTAAACAGTCTTTTGAAGACGAATGTATTCTGGCGTTTTGTCTCGTGTAGTTTGGTAGAAGCTTACCAACATTTCAGTTGTGTTTGTTGCCTCCATCATCAGGGTGATTTGCCCAACAACAACCCAGAAGACAACCATCTTCATACTTAACCTGAAGTGTCACCAGGTACATCGAGGTTTCATTAATTTTGTTTTAGGGATTTTATTTTCACGAGAAATATGGTGGTAATGCTGAGAACCTGTTGCTGCGGCTGGTCTTTGGGAACAGGAACCATTATTATAGGAATTGTAGAAACGGTGAGTATAAGTTACATTTCAGCTTCTTGGAAAGATCTAATATGAGAGCCAAATGCTTTCTTTTCATCGATATAACATAAATATTTCTTTCACGGTTTCCTTTCGTCAAAGCTGACTACAAGTCGCAAATATATATGATGATATAGAGAGTATACACAAAAGAATGGTGCGGTTTTAAAAGTTATAATTGGTATTCAGTTGGGGTAACTTTTGAAACCGCACCATTCTTTTGTGTACGAGGTGCGATCGGAAAGTTTCAAGACTGTGTCAATAGAGGGCGAACAGGATGTAGTACGAGCTTCTTCCGCTAGGGGGTGCGGCCTACATTCATAGTGAACCAGTGTGCCAGCCGGCATCATCGAATTAGCATTTGTTTCTTAGTTATGGCCGTTTTGGTAGTGCATTACACCGACCCTCCTGCGATTTCGGAATGGCGTGTGCATCAAATTTTGCCAAAGACTCGCCAAAACGGCTACGGAAACCTATGAAATGCTAAAGCAAGCATTTGGGGAGTCCGCAATGGGTCGTGCACAAACTTTTGTGGGGCATTCACGTTTTAAAAATGGCCGAACCCCTGTCGATGATGACGAGCATTCTGGACGACCATCTTCGAGCACAACGCCCGAAAACGTTACGAAGATTCGGCAGGCCATTCAAGAAGATCGACGTCGTACCATCAACGACTTGTGCGACATTGTTGGGACCTGTCAGCTGATTCTAAAGGAAGAACTCCACATGCGACGCATCAAGACAACGCGCCAGCGCACACCGCCCTCAAAGTTCGGCAGTTTTTGGCCTCAAACACCATGGCCGTCATCCCGCACCCTCCTTATTCGCCGGATTTAGCTCCGTGTGACTTCTTCCTCTTCCCAAAGATGAAAATTCAGCTAAAGGGAAGGAGATTTGAGACGATAGAAGAGATTCAGGCAAAATCGCAGATGGTGCTTGACAGGCTGACAAAGAAAGATTTGCAGGGATGCTTCCAGGCTTGGCAGCGGCGCTGGGATCGTTGTGTTCACTCCCAGGGGAACTACTTCGAGGGGGATGGATGAATTTAATACCTGAGATAAGTGTACGGTTTTTTTTTGGTTTTTTTTTTGTGGCTCAGTCTTGAAACTTTCCGATCGCACCTCGTATATCCTGTATAACAGTAACATTTTATACAGAAAAGTAAAGGAAATTAAAATTTACTGCGCATGTGCCATCTGGAACACATTGTAATCATATCAGGCATTTATTTATCATTTTCCATTGTCATAATTTATTCGCGGAGCTGATGAATCCAGTTCAGACCTCGTATACAATTTCTCTGCAACCTCCTCCTTTCGTCCACGTAGTTCCAAATATTCTACTATCGAACATTCTCATGACGAGGGACCAAGTTCATTGGTTTTCTGTATGACTCAATATTTATGCTGAGGTATCAATTAATTGTATTGTTGCTCTTAGTTAGGCGGAATTACGAACGTCATACTTAGCATAATAGCTGCCGCTGAAGCCGAACTAGATCCCAGAGCTGAAGAGAGTGTACTCGATGCCTTGGACAGTAAGTGACCTGTACATACTAAAGTTACGTAAATCAACCGATTTTCCACTATTATTGGCTATTCATTAACTTTGCCTTGCCAGACGCATTTCTACTCTATGAAGCCATAATCAGGAGCTGTTTATTTACATATTTCGTTCAATATATAAGATAAAAGAATATATTAAATCCTAAAACCTTGCACCATCATTTTAACTTTTCAATTTAGTACGAGATTAAATTGAAAATGTAATTAAGAGAGAACAGCAATTCCATTACTGATATAAATTAGGCTAACAATAGACAGATCAATGCTACTGTACACGAGACGTTTATTTTATCGCTTAGTTTAAAGACACATTACTCTGAATTAGAATTATAAGAAAGCCAGAATTTTAAGTCACGTTTTGTATGTATTTGATTTGTTTCAGCTATCAAAGTAACGAATATCTTACTCGCTGTGGTCGCAGCGGTACTCACAATATTGGGAGTCCTGCTTATAGCTGGCGCGAAAAGAGTAAGTAATGTACAGATGATTTATTAACTAAGTCTATGGAGCACAGTCCTTGTTGAGAAGCTAATAAAATTAATAACCAAGGTAATATAAAAATCAATCAATAAATCCCTCCCAGTATAGAACCACATAACTCTCTTAATTGTAAGTCTCATTCTGTTCATAAATGCCGAGTAAACGGTTCTGGACAACATTTATAGGATAAAATTACTCTGCAGACTATTAAAGGGTTTTTTTTTGTGGCTCTACTGTGAAATCTTAAATGGTGCAAGTACCACACAAGAACTATTCTTTATTAAATACTAATTTCAATTGCCACTTTGTTCAATTAATCACGAATGTAATACGGATCCATAACAGTATAATATCTGTTTGCTAAGTTACCAAAATCCACTGGAACGTTAGTGGAGGAGTGGAATCTTAAACAATTAATAGGCATTCTTTAAGCCTATCTATACCATGTTTTTTAAGTAATATTAACTCTGTTTAAAAATTATAACATACAATTACAATTAAGTAAGTTTGTCCCACTATACGCCATGTAGGCGTTTGGGGTGAGTGGAGGTATGGATCCTCTCTTCCTTGACCTCGGCACTAGATGGGGGTGAGTGGTCAGCATCACGCCCCGGCCGGCTTTACCCCCGGGAAAGGACCCCGGTACCCATTGTAGAGGAGGCTGGGTGGGCCCCAGAGCCGGTCTGGACGCAGAGGCTAGAGGAAAAATCCTCTGCCCCCGTCGGGGATCGAACCCCGGTCGTCCAGCCCGTAGCTAGTCACTATACTGACTGAGCTATCCCGGCTCACAATTACAATTTAAAATTATTTTATTTTCCGTATTTCATTATCGTAAACAGATACCTTAATCATGTAATGTAAACAGCGAAGATAAGACTATTTATCAGCATCCGTTGCATTGTTCGTGAAGAGTTATAAATACTTAATAAGAAATCTGCCTTCCAAATCAAAGTAATTCTCAGTAACGTTCACTTTTACGGTAAGACGATAATACTATAAGAAAGTGTGAATAACTCTTCAACTGATATTTAACAATATTCGGCAAATATAATAAACCATGCTTTAGCTAATGTATTATTCAATTGGAACTTCCAACGGTCAGTATATCTTTGTTCTATGTCCACATCACATGATTCTCTGTGAAACCTTATTGGCCAGAACACTAAACATTTCAATATTAAATTAATAACATTTTAATGTGACAGAATAAAACATAGTGTGAAATGAAACACCTAAAATCTGTACAGATTACGAATGTAAATGGAGATATTGGCAATCTGTAGACATAAGCAGGCTTAAAATAACAGTATTATCTCATTGTCCCCAGAGTTGATACAGCACTCAACTACTAATGCGACTATATGCTATGTTTATACGTGGATATTTTTTAAATCAACAAATGATTTCAAAATTATATTGATTTAATTTATCCGTATGTCCTGCTTGCAGAATTCTCCTTCACTTCTAGTTCCGTGGATGATATACACTTGTTTTTATATATTTGCTACAGTGGTTTCATACGTCATAAATACTGTTGCATACTCCGAGGCAGGCAAACCTTTGCTGGCTGGCATTTCTGTTATAGGAGCCATTCTTAATCTATGTAAGTATGTTCTGCATTAACTTTTCCCGCCAGTGTTTGATTATGCTGCATGCAGATAAGTCTATTTAAGTTATTACATCCACCTCCTTGACAATGACTCAGAATATTGTATACATTGTTTTCAGCGATCCAGACGTACTTCATCCTCGTTGTATACAGTCTCTATCGAGAGCTGAGGGGCGAAGACCTTCTCAACCTCTGATGTGGACCGTAGCAGTGTCTTTCAAGAAAAGAGAAATCGTCGAAACATTGACTTAGGTCATACAGAGTCCTTAATTTTATAGTGAACAGTTCGTGCCACAATTATCGGTTGAAATCCTCTGCTAAGTTTCGTATTTGTTTGAAGAATAATCCCAAAATAACCATTCTGGGGGTTTCTGACGATGGTGTAATACAAAATCCAACAATCCTGACTAAAATAAGTACCACGTTTTCTATCTCTCCACGCAGGTCTTCTGAGTTGTGACGCCGTGTGGACTTGCAGATACTTACCAACATTTAGGAGGAACACGCTGCCTCCATCTTCAGGTGTAAGTAACATGAAGGCAGTGTGTCCTTCCGAAACGTAAAATCTGCCTACAGGTCCACGATCCGATACGTTCACCGCCGCATGAATCTCGATTTTCTATCGGTTTACACCCCGTTGAAAAATTATATTGTCAAGATCAAAGTTAAGTTCTGTGACCGGAAATACAAGCTGTGGTCCATATGATGTTTCTTTCTTTTTTTTCTCCGGGAAAGTATTTATTAATATTATGATTATAGTGCAACGGCTGCTAGAGGAGTGTTCATTTATTGACGTTGCTGAATGACGACAAAAGAGCTCATAACGATGATGAATATCGAATTAACAGTTGGCACATGCAATAAGAAAGTGCACTGTTAATAATCCTAAAGATACGTAGTAAGTAACCTTAAGTATCATATAATTACAGACTTATGTCATTAGCCATTTAAATGATATTTCAATGTGTCATTTAAAAAAAGACCAACATATGAAATATAAATTTTAACATCAAGATTCTCAAGTTTGTGATTTAATAGACAGATTTTTACCTTTTCGTCATCTTACTTTTTGCTGCTATTTGCAAGTGATCAGAAGCATCATTTCTTATTCCCTGATCCTTGCCAGTTTAACCACTAGACAAACTAAGAAGTCACCTGCGGTGGCCAAGGAGGAAAGAGAAACAGTGTAACTAATACGTAATACGTATCTAAAATTAAAGAAACAAAGGACAGACTAAATGTGTGTTCGCATTTGCTGCTTTGTATTATGCCTCCAACAATATTTGGTATTGTATATTAAATGACTGGTGTGTGTAATGAAGTCAACAATGTGACCAGTCAGCACATTTCTGGACAAAGAGGAGATTGTCATTGTCAGTCACATAACAGACCTAATGCTAATAGGTTCTGCTTTCACTTCTGGTAAGTTATTTTTCTTTTCTGTACATGATTTCTTCAGAAGTTACATATACAAACATTAATCAGTAACCAACTTTATTATTTATTATTATGAAGTTTGCAAAATATAATTTTAAAATTCTAATGTGTGTTACTTCTAATACATATTTCGTGTAATGTGTAGAACAATGACAATGTTCATTCAGTATATTATTCTCCTTTTACCTGTAACCTAATTCTGAAATTATAAATGCAAAATTTTTGGAAGTTGCTGAAAGTTAGGTTAGGGCGCCAGATATCCTGACGCTGGTCCTGCACCTGATAAAATTTAGCATTGGGAGAGGATCATTCCTACGTAAAGCAATAAAATATGTGAACTGTTTACAGAAACACTAAGAATGTATCGTCCTGCACCATTTATTAACCGCAAGTATGTAAAGGTGTAAAAAGTGCCCAGAAATTAACTCATATTGCAAGAGGGTTGTATTGCGTCAGTACCAATAATGGTGCCACATCATGACCCTCAGTATTTCCCTCATCCTGACATTTTTAATCCAGATTGCTTCAGTGAAAATAACAAGCACAATATACAGCCATTAACCTATATGCTCTTTGGATCAGGACCCAGACATTGCGTAGGTAAGAAACTGTACATTAAACATGTACTTGGTTAAACTTCAGTCTGTTAGAAATTTAAATGAAGGCTCCACACTTGTAAAAATTGTAAAATACCTCTACTCACTAAAACATATTAGTACTGGAATGATATAATTTTAAACTTCAAAATATGTTCTAGAATTTAAAAATTATTTTAAATGAAACTCTACTGCTCTAACTCACAATCTGTATTTTTTAATTTTGTATATGAAGTGATGTTTATTCAGTAATTTAAATAAACCTATAAGTGACAGTAAATTTAAAAATAAATAGCGAGAATATAAGAAATAAAACAATATTAGTGGCCTACCATCCTACATTGATTTTAAAGACCATTATCACAAGGTAGTTCAGATGGTTAAATATTTTTGGCAGTGAAAGATTTAAAATCTTGTGTGTTTAACAAATACATTTTCTGGTAATATTAATTTTTGCCTTGCACAGTATATTTCTTTCTTTCTCTCAACTTTCATATATATGACGTGTCAGGTATAAAGAAGTTTAAAAGTTTATATATGACGTGTATATCATAATGTACTATAATTTAATAAATTGTATATAATTTTCCCATTGTTTGTATTAGTTGTACATTCTTCCAGGATATCACTTTGCCCTACTTGAGACCAAAATAGCATTGGTATACCTGCTGAGACATTTTGAACTTGGCACCACTTCAATGACAACTCATCAGAGAAGTTCAGATTGCTGTCGAGGGTAGTTCCTGACTCAGACCACCTACCTCCAATGCTTCAGCTAATGAACATAACTAATCTATTACAAATAATATAGTTCAGTATTGATAGTTACTGTCATATTTCTTATATAAAACTCTTTCTCAATAGTTAAAATAGTCATTTATCTGAAGTCATACAGTCAAAATATTTAGGACTTTAATCTACCTATTTGTATTAGGTTTCTCATCCTGTTCTCTGTTATTCTTCATATTCTGTGTCTACGTTCATTTAGCGCTATGCTAAAGGAATGGCAAGAATCATGAAGATCTATGAATACTCGTTAAAAAGGCACATTATAATGAAACAAAGCAGTTCAAAACATGCAAAAAGATTCTACATATGTTCTTTTTCCTAGTTAAAATGGAATTTATTTTCAAAGTGAGATAGGGGAGGTAAAGTTGAGAAGCAAGGATCAAGATCTAATGCAGACCCACACAAACCGGCATACTCACAGAGACACTCCAGACACTGGGCTGCTCTGCCAGGTACGGAGCAGTCGAAGCTCTCCGTCGTGAGGCCTTCTGATAAACTGCATAGGGACCTACTGGCCTTGGACAGGAAACAATGCAGGCTGGTAACAGATTTGTTAACTGACCATTGTACTTTGAGGCAGCATCTACATATAATGGGTCGCTTGGGAAGTGCCAAGTGCAGGAAATGTGGAAAAGAAAAGAGCCAATAGACATTAGGAGTGTCTCAGGTTGGTTCTGGTTCTAGAACTGTAGTTTTGGCACTTTGAAGGAATCTAACAAGATGATTGATTGGCGATGGGCTGAGCAGGGGTCTGAGTGCCTGGGGCAACTGAAGTTGTCCCCTCTAGATCAGACAGAAGTACCAGTACTCCATACTCCCAGTCTATGAAATGGTTGAAAAGTACTATGATAGTATAGTAAATACAACATATTTATGAAATGTTCAATGCAATTTAGTTTCACACATTTCTTGTTTTACAACAGTGACAGCTGTGTCTGGTGAACATTTTGTTTGAACATAGTGTTGCAGAGTCATCAAAAAGGTCATGAAGCTGTGAAAAATTTATATTAAACTTATATATCAAAATAAAAATATAAAACATTTCATTACGATTAATATTTACGCACATTCATGTTCATGGCAACATAACACACGTGCTTACACACACACACACACATTATAATAAGAAGCAGCAGAGATTAACTGAGTAATTATTTTATACTTCAGTTAATATAACTGAAAATATTGCATTTATTACTGAATCAAAATTATGTTCAGCTGTAATTCAGAAATGATGTTTTAAATCATCAGTTTGTGTGTGGATTCATTCACTTTATTCATAAGCATTTTTATTTTGTTAGAAGTAACCAGGATGTGCTTTTTCATTATTATATTTTGGGATGATTATGTATAGATTTAGACAACGCATAATTTGGAAGCAGTAATTGAACTGAATAAATTTATCCTTATTATTATTTTACCATTACAAGATTTTCATTTTATTCAATCGAATGTTTTATATCCTGTTTGGATTAAATGTATCCTGAACCCAGTGAAAATCCTATGAAAAAGTGTGCTAAATTTCTGTATTCTATTCCTCAAATGAACACTATTAAAGACTGCAAATATAGAGTTGCCCATCACTCAGAAATTCCAAACAAATGCTGCATAGGGTCCTAGAACACACTGCTACAGTGTGCTTTCTTCATCAAGCTGCTTTACCTCAAGAATTGTGATTATGAATAACAAGTGAGGGGCTCAGATAGTTTTATTTTTATGTATAGTACATCTCTGCACGTGGTATTGATGAAAAGTATGCAAATAATTGATAATCCTGGTATGTGGTTTTGGGTTAATATCACTTATGTTTCATCAGACCTGAGGAATTCAATGTCAGAAAAATTTACTCCACTTTACTAAACAGTACAATTAATGACAAAAGAGTTGTAATCATTGGCACAGTCAGAATTTATGTAGGCCTAATACAATTACTACCATCAGCTGAATACTTCAAGGCATTTAAATGATATCCCATTAACATTTCAAAGTTTAATTTTCAATTTATATAAAATGTAATACCATATTTAAAAGAATAAATCCTGAAACTTTACACTTATAACAAATGAATGTCAGATGTAAAACTAATGTGCATCAGTTCAGTATAAGACTTTAATGTTCCTAAATTTATCTTAAATTACTCTGAATCACATATGTACTGGAAGTAACAAGCAAATTAAAATGAAGAAAAGTTAAATTAAAAATAATGAAAATATTCTATAAAGTTTTATTGGGCTTAAAATAATTTCATTTGTATGTGCAGTCGTCGTCCAAGGAGTCCTACCGAACGTCTATAGATCAGGCCAACAAAAAGTTGGGACCCGCAGTGCTCAGGCACTTGAAAAAAGGATTGTTCTCAGCACCCAGTATGTGCAGTACGTGAGAATTATCAATAGCCCTTGCTTTAATGAACTAAATGCTCTCTCTTAAGTCTTGAAAGACTCTTTTAATTCAAACCTAATTGAATTCACTGATAGAAAACATTCCTCCGTGCCTTGCATAAGGCAACACTGACCTCTTCCACCAACTTGTAATATGCTTAGTAGAGAAATATGACAGATATGACAGACTACTCACTTGACATCAGAATGATAAAACAAAGAATGAGTCATTTATTCTTTCACATTGTTATATAAACCCAGCCACTTTCTTCAACCAGTCTTTACACCTTTCATCTTCATCTAGTATTCAACATTAGAGAAAGTAGAAGGTGCAGCAGCACGCCATGTTCCTAGCAATTCTCAAACATCGCTCCATCTCTCACAGAGAACAGAGCCCAATCTAATTCTACCAGACGTAACTATGAACAGTGTGATACCTGTGCCACATTGCAGCTCCACTTGTTCTTCCATGACGATGTTGACTCTTCTCACTAAGACAATGACAATGAGATTCCAAGAAGTCAACATTAGTCTTGAGGTAGTATTTAAGTAGATAGATTCTTCTCATGAAGAAATTTTTCACAGCCATTCAGAATGTCTTCCATGGTAACAATTTGTTCAACCAGTGGCTTGTTTTGGTGCTGCGACAGGCAATCCACTCATCAGTTTCCCATCTGATACCAGCACCGACCAGTATGGGGGAGGCATTTCACATGAGACAACAGATTCATAACTTGGTGGCAGTTCACCTCCTGCAACCAGATGTAGTTGACTGCTCATGCAGGCTCTTGTGCCCTAAACAAACATTTCACTCACTTCAAGAAACCATCCACAATAACCCTTGTTCTTAACACGCAATATTCTTATATGGTACGACAAACGGACACGAGTACTGTGCCGTCAAAAATATTTTTAAATTCATTCTTAAATCGATTTCTTTTTTTTAGATTTCCCAGTATTTTTTTGCAACCTGTGATAAAAATATTATCTGCAAAGCCCTTGCAAATATATTCATACATATTAAATTAAAACCTCTCACCTGAGTTAAGTAAATCACAATCTTCATTACTACAGACATAACTTCATCTGTACTAATAAAACTGGAGTTCTAGGCAAATAGCATAAAGAACAGGACTGTGCGATACTTTCAAAACAAGACTTTTGGAAGAGGCAAGCAAAAATAGAAGCAACTTTATTCAAAAATTGCTTTGTACATTTTTTCTATAATTTCCTTCATACCTCTGAAAACCAAATGGGGTGTGAATGCAAAAATCAAGATCCTGATAGGCATGCATCATGATTCTACAACAAAATAAAGATACGGTGATTTTCCATAATACATATAACACAGCTTGAATGTTCTGCGTTCAATGATTCTCATCTTTGCTACACCACCAGTGGGTAAAATTGCATTTCATAAGATGCTGCTACAAGAAATTATCATTGAAACATTGGCAGATGTTTGTGCAAAGAAACAATTACAAGAACATTTCTCATTCATCTCATGCAGCTCACAAAAATATTTCATACTTTTATTCCCTTTCCTTCTTGCAATAAAATCCCTCTTTATCGTACTTTAAGTCTATCTAACATTTCTTTCTTTGGGTGGAGGGGGGTGGAGGTGGCAACTGAAGAAGTTCAGAAAAGTTGTTGCAAGAAAGATAACCTTTTCCTGTAAGGTCTGTTAATGAAGATAACGAAGACTCGTTGGTTACCTGGCAATGATTCCCCGATTCCTGTGTTGCGGTCCATATGCATATACCCAGGCGGTGTGTGACATAGCCGCAGACCAAGAGGCTGACAGCTAGCAGCGCCAGGCCGATACCCAGAACATGCCAGCGCTTGTCACTGTCGCTCGTCCAATCGCCTCTCATGTTGCTCTCCAGAAACAGCCCGAACACAACCAGGAGCGGCACCGACACCATCGCGACCACAAGGTCGACCAGAGACTGTCTGTTGGTCGGAGCCACCTGTCGGCAAATTAGAACGACGGTTCCTATGAGATTTGGCTTCGCAGCCGCACAAGATTCAAGAACTGAGGCAAAAACTGGATCTGAGACATGGTTTCCGGTTCATCCAATATAGAGATTACTGTGGCGTCAGCGTTCCTGGAGAATTTAATCGCTGGAATGATTGAGTATTTTTCATACATGTATACAACAGTTATTATAGTTTCTTGTGCTACCTTAACTTCGTAAAGTAGCCTCATGATGTGTAATAATATCAATAGATTCAGTCGTTTACGAACATCCAGAGAATTGTTTTTTAGCTGTTGTCAGACAAGCTGTCAACCAGTGATAAAGTTTAAAGTAATTTAATTTTCGCTATTATGTAGTTTTTAGCACAGTAAAGTTGTCTAATACTTTCTGGTTTCAAATTCAAGACAAGGAATTGCGTTCCTTGAGTAAAGGTCATAATACAGTCGCAAACAAACGCTTGACTTCGCATGACGACAGAGACACGAAACTGATAACGAATATAATCATGATATTGATATATTGGCCTTCTGAATGAGGCTCCTTCACTGGTAAAATCCAGTAAGGCCTATCTGGGGGTCAGGGGACAGGCATTGCAGATTCTTTGTTTCCATAAATATGCTCACAAGTCTCACGAATTGGAAACTTACATTGCATATTAAGAAAAATTGAAGTTGAAACACATTCAGCAAGCCTACGGAAGATGTTTAAGTGCGGGAAAGAAATACGAGTTGCTTTCTAATTCTGCAGTATGAATTCAAAGTCTGAATGTACACCAGACATAAAATTTGTAATTATTTTATTTGACGTCACAAAGGACGTGAGGCCAATTTAGTTCGACTGACATAATACATAGATTGCTGTTTATATCCTAAACAGTTAACATTAATATTAAGATTTAATCATATATTCTTAGTATTACAAACAAATTGTTAAAACACTCGACGTCAGCGTGGTGAATTCAAGGATTCAGAGGGATTAGGACATATAGGTGCCAATACCACTCAGGATAGTGAAACTGTGCCCGAAAGACACAATTTTCGGACTTCCGTGGTTAGGCGTAGCGCTATTCAGCTTTAGTACGTTACACACATTACATATGTGTAACACGCATACACAGTGTGTCCGGTGACTTACGTCAGTACTTCAGGATTTTATTCCTGGGGTCATTCTCAGTCAGAAATGTCATTTGGGCATATGTTCGATTCACTGAGTTAAGTATATTTGTCATTCAAGATGATTTGAATCTTACATAGAACATTGCGGTCAGTAATGCATCTTGCAGCATCGAAAAATTCTGTGACGTACTTCCTCTACACTTTAACTCCACACATGGAAAACTGCAGGAGTAAGATCCGGTGACTTCACTGGCCAATTCCATCGGTCACGGAACTGGTCGCTCAGGTATTCCGTCACATTCTGCTGAAACTGGGTGCTCCGTTGCGCTGAAGTACACGCGCATTCGTGTCTTTTGTCTGTTTAAATTATATTGGATTTCTACCTACAGCTACATAATCATTGAAAATCGGACCCATAATCACATGACATGGGAATTACCTCAGGAATATGATCGTAAGTATTCACATAAGTCGCCGGACATCCCATTTATAATCATGGCAGCCTACTGTTGAAACTTTCCTGAAATATTGTGTATCTTAAACATTTCATTCTCAGGATGGATTTCCCACATAGCAGTTAAAACTTTGGGTAGGTTATTGTGTGTATTATTCTACTGCAGTTTATCAGAACACTCTTCCAATACTGTTTCAACCACAGAGAAAGAAGGGAAATCTGTCAGTATATGACGGGAGATAAATAAAAGCCGGCAATTAGGTTAAAGCAGCTGTGTTTGTGTTGTTTTTTTACTCCGCTGTGACCAGCGGAAAAGAGTCTTCATTGAGACCCATGGCACGTCCGCCGGCAAGTTCTTATGTATGACAGGGCAAAGGTCACAGATAAAGCCACGAAAATATGGCTGACGTATAGTCTCTCATTGTCATCATGATCAGTCAATAATCTCACCCTGGAGAGGTTAATATTTAGCCATTTTGAAATCATTCAATTACTTGACACCTAATGCAAGATTTAATCGAAATATGCCGACTGAGTGACGTGTAGACAGACACAAACTTTCCGTAGAGTTAATTTTACGTTATTCGTGCAAATATAAACACGACCATCGGCCTGGTGGGTATTAGAACGAGCAGAAGCCACCAATACGTACGAAAAATGGCACGAGACTTCACAGTCATCGGGAGCCCCTCGAACTTTACACGCCTCATCGCCCGTGATAACCCACGACTAGAAGTCGGTTCATTACGTCAAGGCCTTCGATATCCCTGCTGCTGCCTTCGTTCGTTCATCCTAATCACACTGTTTGTGTTTAATATGCTACACTCTTGAAAGACGAACGTCTTGTTGTTAACAAGTAAGGGTTATTATTGAACGAGACTTCGTCTTTCGATCACATGCGTATTCTGCAAACATTGTTTTGAGCAAATAATGTTTATTGTCACTGATTTTAGGAATGGCAGGTAAGGCCACAGATCGATTTTTCATTTCAAATTGCAAGTTTTGAGAAAAAGAATACTGAACTTAGAATTTACAGAGTGATTTCGAATCCCAAAAACTTTATTTTATTAAATATGTTACATAAACATCCGCGACAATTTCGGTTTGAAATTATAAAAAATCATGACATTTCTATAACTTCAATCGCAGGTCTTTCTTCAGCGGAAACAAACCTTGAACAACAAATGAGCGCGCTAACTAAAGGCCAACTTATTAACGAACAAAGACTCAGAACACAATGCAGGAACTGTAGCAACGAATCTGTTAACTACGTCATGAATTTGAGCCCTGTCCAATATTCGTCTCTTATTCTTTTGGTGCGTAATTCACGAAACATCCTCTTGTGCTGGCGAATGAGGAAAATTTTGTTTACGCCGAGTATAGGCAGACTTTAATGAACCCAGTAACTAATGAATGGCCTTGAATGATTTTACTGGTGAGTGGTGCCTAATACAAAAATTTTCAACTTCTGTAACAGTAGCAGTTTGTCTGCCAGCGTCAACAGTAAGTCACTCGTTAAATGAACTACTTCGTAGTTGAGATTTAAGGTTCTCACGGCGTCGAGTACGAAGATCACAGCCTTCTGGGATATTGCTGTGTAGTCTCGTAGAAGCTTACTGGCGTTTCAGAAGCCTTCACGGCGGCTGAACACAATGGAGTCTTCTGGGGCGATCAGCTGTGTGAGAATGTCTTTGTGCTCAGGGTTGATGACGATAGCGACAGAGAGTCTCCGAAACGTCGAATTACAATGCCACTTTCACACAGTTGATCACCCGAGAAGGCATCACTGCAGTTCAACAGAACATCTTGGGTTTCACATATACAAAATATATTATACATACATGTATTTATAACATTTTTATTTACATGCATAAATCTATTCTTTGTTATTACGTATGCTATGATCATTTCAGTGCGACAAGCCTCATAGAGGAGTTACTGCATTTTACGATGCAAATTTAAACCTGTCATTTTCGATACCGAAGCTCTAATGTAAGCTAATACGTCCTCAGTGAACGCTAGCAATTAATGTCTATGGAGCAGAAACTGCTGACCAAGGTCTGTGTCTCACTGGAATTGATAGAATTTATTGCCAAGTAGCTCTGAACCTTGCAATTGAGACAATTTAAAACAGATTACATCTCCACAGTGGGTCATGACCTAAGCGTGTCGTCTCCGCCTTTCAGGGCATTGTATGGACGGAAATCCTGTGGGTGGTGGCTGCATAGGCTTCGAGGAGCTCCCTATAATGCGCCATCCTAACGAGGAACTGCCGTGGAAAAACAGAAGGGAAGCATTCGTAGGATATTTGTTCATTCGGTTAAAAGCGTCACTGTTCCAATTTATAAGATTATGCAGCGTTGAAAATGATAAAATACGATAATTATGAATGACGACTAGGAAGATATGTGGAAGAAAAGTTTTGTGGTACAAGTTATTATCCCTTCATTTACCTACAGGGCTTACGGTAAAATACGAAAACTTAAATTAGAATATATGACACTGGTGGAGGTTCGATTTGGATTCTTCTAGAATGCAAATCTGTCTCGCTACCTATGTGCTAACTCGCTTCATGTCCTGCTTTGAACAATTATAGGATACCAGGATTCCTCTTAGGAGATCATAAAAAAATTTCACAAAATATAATACAGCGTAGTCAAAACGAGAGAAATCATGTTAAGCTCTCTCTTGTCGAATATATGTATCCATTATTAAAATAATAAGTACTCATCTTCGTCAGTGATCTTCACATATTTGCTAGTCTGATGTACATTTGGACTTCTACAGAGTGGGTAGGAAGTAAGTAGGCATTGATAAATGGTTATAACCTCTATATTTCCAATGCAAAGATAATGAAAATAATTTTATATGTACCTTTTTAAATGGGAATGCCTACTTACTTCCCACCCAGCCTGTAGATTAACCTCCTTACTAGCATGCACTTCCCATAACACGCAAGCACAAACCATTATCTCTCACAGAATAAGAGACTTAATGAATCCGCTTTTAAAACTCGAATTTCCGGATCTTTTTCTTTCCCATTCATTAATAGGCATAAATATTAGGCAGTGGGAAACCATAAAAATGTAAAGATAAACGCTCCCACAGTAACAAAAACAAGCTGATACGTCTGTTGTTATATATGTTTTCCTTTGTTACATTTCCTTCTCATCATTTGAGTACTGAATTATGTATTTTTTCGTTGAGTATTAACAACACGAACTGTGTTTCTACTACGGTATTTCATACAGGCGTACTTTTGAAGAGGTTTCCTGCACCAACCAATTTCTTGAATAAATCTGTGGTTTTCATCCTTCTGTATCTAAACTGTTCACATAACACAGCCGTAAACTGTTTCTTGGGCTGTTTAACAACTCGGTTTTGACTGCAGCAATTATACAACGTCGAATAAAATTAGTTAATCACGAATGATGACCAGCTGAATCAAGAGACTCATTTCAACATAATATTCATTTCCGGTCTGCCCAAAGTTTCCTTCAGTATCTGCAGACTACAGGAAATAGCCAGAAAGTCGGCCGAATCTAAGCCGGGAAGCTTCCAAATACAAAATAAAAATTGTATCGTTCCACGTCATCGGAATTCAGGACAAAAACGTGATATAAAATAACCTATAACCAATAAGTCTTTCTAAGTTTAGTTTACGGTCACGAAGAAGTTAAGAGTAAATTAGTTCGGACGGGAAGATTTTAGTTTCTCACAGCGGCCATCTATGAAGCCGGCCGTCTTCTGGATTGTTACGCCATGCAGTCTGGTAGAAGTCGAACTCACCACCACGAGAACCTCAAATCCTACTTAGATTCAGAATATTTATCTTCCCACCGCGTATCTACAAACGTAAGGATTAAAGATTGTTTTATACGTTCATGGAACTTGGTCTGTAACATTAAGGAAAGAGCAACTTTTCAAACCCTGGGAATAAAATGCTTGAGCCCAGCAGGAAGGAACTGATAGGAGACCGGAGAAAGTTGTATGTATAATGAGCAGCCACATAATTTGTATACCTGCTTTGTGTTCGGAAATGTCATTTTTTAAATATCGGCTCGAAAAATGGCTATTTTGACTCTTATCGTGGTTTTCCTAAGCACCTTCCAGAAAGTAACGGGATTTTACCTTAAACTAGGCCACGGAACTTCCTATCACATCCTTTACAGATCATTAATCATCCAGTCATTCGAAGATGGCCGTCTTCTGGGATGTTTGACTGCGTAGTCTATTAGGTACTGACCGAAGTTTAGAAGATCTTAGTGTCTCTATCATCGGGGTGATTAGATAACATCCCAGAAGACAGTCACCTTCATGGTCGCCGCCGTGAAAACTTGAAATCTCATCCTATACAGCATGAGCTACAAACAGCGAAGTCAAATAAACAAGTGGAAGCTGGAAGTGTCGGAATAAAACGCTGCAACGCACATACTCCATGTCGTCGTCATCGGAATTTGACCCGTACATACAGAAAACAAGAGGCTGTCAGACTGAACAATTCTAGCGACATCAAGGCTCAACAAAGTAAGGAACAACATATCAGACGTTGTTAAACAGAAGTCAGAGTTCAGTTAGCCTGCGTAAGACATGAGTTTGTTTAGGGTCGTTGGAACATGGCATCCGCTTACTGCTCTGGTGGGATTATTTCAGCAGTGGCGAAAGTGTACCCCGTAGTTTAAAATTGTGTTGCTGCTATGAAATATTTCCTAGTCCCTGAACTTACGAGTTTCGTGAATAACATCTCCGCTATTTTGAATGTAAAATGTGAGTCCAGTAGCCTGCAGAAGTTGACGGAACGGACCCGAGGCGATGTTCACATATTAATAACAAAGTCGGCCCTTTGTCGTTTGTCACTATATTGCATATAAATAATTCCATGGAGCAACAGGTCTTTCAGCTAGTCAAGAAGTGTCCTACCCTTATCGCTACCTTCATGCAACGTTATGAAAATACAATAAAAAAGAGAGTTAGTTACACACATTTACTAATCTACATGCACTTTACCTGCAACTACATTCACGAGCTTGGAATGGAGTCTATTCCAAAATCAAAAGACAGAAAGACCTATAGGCTTCCGGAATGGAAATAACTTAGCTCTGTCGTATTCTAAACAAATACTGAAACCGTATAAAGCTAAATGTAAACATATAAATTCTGTCAACAGTACGACAACTTTGCAGCTTACATTTATAATAGAATTACACAAGAAGACACTTAGAACAGATGTCATATTCGGTTATTTTAGTTGACTTATTTAACAATAGTCTATTATAAAACCGTATGTGCCAGTATGGAGTACATTATCAATTCATTCAAAATTCTTATCAAAATAAACTTTACCATTTATTCCCGATACTGTGCTAGTCAAATGATGGTTTAATTGTTTTGGTTCTGTACTCAGGCACCAAATAAAGGTTGAGGAAAATAATAAAAAAATAGTTTAAATGTTACAACTATAAATTCAATAACACTAAATTAACACCTGAATAAATGAAGAGAATTTATAACTTCTGATGAATATTTCACCGACTATGAGTTACATACTAACACAAGATTCCTACCGTCATTCTATCAGATGGTCACACTTCTACTTCACAAATATCACGATTCAATATGGCTGAACTGAAATTTGTCACAGTACCACTCTTGTAAGACAGCCACAGAACACTGTTCCAAATCTTTCATAGACACCTATTTTCATTCGATACCCGCATAAGGAACTTCCTCATACGCATGCGCACAAGATTAACGATGGATCGCGGAACATACGTCACGTTCATACAGACTTGCAATGCGCTTACGTAGCTGGAATATTGGTCATTGTATAGCGCATATTACAAATAGGAACGGAAAATCCGATATAAGTACGTGTTACGTACAGTCAGTGGCAAAACAGCAAGTGCCCCTCCCTCCTTTAATGAGGCAACAATATACGCTATTTTTAAATGAAATATAAGAATGATATTTATAAATTTTTAATAGAATATGGGAAAAATTAATCTTTCTCGTACAAAACCTAAGCAAAAAATCTAAATATTGAGTGTTTCAACATACCCCACAACCGGGGCATTTCGCAACTGTAATATACTTTTGTAATGTTATTACTTAACTCCTATTGTAATGCAATGGTTCCTATCAATTTGAAACTTTTTGGCATTTTTAATTGCCAATGAGCTATTTCAAACTACAACATAATTTTGTTTATGCTCGTTCAAAATAGCTTATTAGTGGCTATGTTTGATTAGGTGAGATAGTTCATACAAGACATTGCAATTCATCAGGACACTAATGTTTGTACGTATAGTACTCTTTACAGTGTTTGAGGAGTATAGGGCCACCGAAGAACGACCTAGATTCAATACAATAACTCGTGAAACATGAATCAAAACAAAGTGCCTTTACTAATATCTGAAGAAAGAAGTTTCCTAATACTGTTGGTAAGTCTCGATGTGGGTATCCGATGTAATCCCAGGTATGACGAAGAAAGATTGTCACTACAGTAGCGAATATGAGTGGGCCTATTTAGCGGTCGTGGTAATCTGTAATTGCATCCATCTTCTGCCCTGATGGTGCACATGTTTCGAATAATGAAACAGCAGTGTTATCAGGGATGTTGGTAGTTTCCAACTCATCATATCTGAACAGATTCTAATATGTATAAGCCTAACACGTGTGGATGACAATAATAAAGTAACTTAGAAATACAAACAGCAAACAACTGCAAAAAAGGGTGGGTTACAAATTAATGCTCGTATACGTTTAATAATTTCTTTCTGCGTTAACGGTGACAGAACTATTGGACCTGCATTTATACAGTGTTCATACGTCATAGAAAGAATAATTTACACAATATCCGCTATTTGTCCTTAAAACACAGATAAGAACTCAGTAATTATTATTATTATTATTATTATTATGATTTCGCGGCAGGTGAAGACAACAGCGATTCGTGGCCGTGGGGCCAGGACCAATTAAACTACAGCCACCCCTCACCTCTCTCAACTGCCCGTTACATTAAGTTCGCTCATTAAATATTTATATTTTTCAGAGTTTACAATAACACAAGTTAAACAGTGTCTTACATTCCTCTCACACATTCAACCGAGACTTTTTTTTTAAATACGGACACCAACCACTACTCCATATTTTTCAATGAACAATTACAGCCCAAAATTTTAATGGGACAAAGTGTGGTCCTGTAGACATGTAGTTTATGTATTCGGATAGGTTTGACTCTGCTGGATAGAAATACTGACCACGACTCGTAAATTTGATTCATTTAATTGTGTGTATTATGAAGGTAAGGTAAACCAACTCCATGGAGAAGAGTCCTTCTTGGTAGTGATCCAAATAATCCAGTCCATGCCCTAAAACCTTATTACTTTAAGGTCTAATTTAATTTTATCCTTCCATTTATGCGTAGACCTCCCAAATTGCTTCATTCCTTCCAGTTTTCTGACTAATTTTTGTTTTGTACATTTCTCATCTCTCACATATGTTCAACATACCGTCTGTCTCATCTGTTACGTACATCCTTCTCTGCAACAAACGTGCCTGGTGTGTTCTTATTTTAATACTCAGCGTATTTAGATCATTACTGTGCTATCTTTAGAACCTAAAGCCTCTTGCAATCAAACACTTGTTTAATTAGAATAGGAAATTTATTTCTTTGTACCTAACATCCAATTTAACCTCGTGACTGTATTTTTAGAAAGGAGCATTGCTTTAACATAGACATATTGTACGTCTATATTTAGCAAATAGTCGCAATAAGTAATTATCTCTTTATGTAAGCTCCTAGCAGACACTTGTGTGACTTATACAATGTCATGGTACGCAAGAAGCCTGCAGGTGTTTTAGGGCCTGCTGAAATGTGAACTTGCCCATAATAGGCTAGCTGGAAGACAGATCTGCATAATTGTATTCTAAACACTCCTACATGCGGGCTTTGATGCTATGGAAAACCCAAGGCAGAGCTAGTGATATCGTGAGAATCGCCCTGATCAGCTTTTCTCATAAGGGAGAGGTACAATGCATCCCTCGGTGTACTCTACAGGTCAGTGAATGGACGGGTGCATTTCGTACGAGCTTCGGGATCAATAACTGAAAAATGAATCTTGAAGCCTTCGAATTTTAAATTTAGACCCACTGCAATTCCATTGTTTTGCTAAAACAAAGGAGCATTGTTGTATGTTCATGAAAAGAAAAATGTTGTGACTAACTCATTAATGACAGACCTGGGGGTCACAGCAGGAGCGTTAAATGTCGCGGTCCCGATCGAACCCATGTACTGATGGGTCGTGAATCCTGCTAACCACCAATGCACGCCATGCTGAATGGTGTGTACTGGACACGAAGAAAAGACTGACTGATCAAATGACTGAGAGAGTCGACAAATTACAAATATGAGAAAATAGCAAGTCTAATGGATCCATGGACCGTCTAAGGGCCACAAGCACATTTCACAAACGAAAAATTAAAGATATTAATATTTAAATTATATTGTTAATTACAATTAAAACACGCATATAATTGATGAACGTCTCGGGCAACAAGCCGCGTCAGATGGCTGAATGTTGAATGAACCATTTCTTCCGGAAGAAATGGTTCATTCAACATTCAGCCACCTGGCACTGCTTGTTGTCCGAGAGTCTTTCATCAACTTCGTTCGCTGCGAATGCTTCACTTTATACAAACATATAATTACTTGTATATCTAAATGTTATTATGCACTAAGACATGTGACTGAGCAATAAGAAATCACACACTATTATGAAATAAGATAATGATTTATTTACCTTATTTTTCTACAAATAATTTTTTTTAAGCTTACACAGCTTATAGATGATGATGATGATGTATATCACAACTTCGCAGAGTGAGACTCATTTTGGCCACAACAAGAGGTTTTTCTTCATTGTCACACTTTCATTCTGCTGTCTCATGATTTGTTTCACCAAGACCGATATTAATTTCCACTATACCTTTTAAACCTTAACACCTTTCTGCTTGGTCTATCTCGATATTAGTGAAACCTACCACAAGAATTACTAAAAATACACATTTTTTACTATCCCAGCAACCACCATCACTTGTGGTTCACTTTAAATGATTTTATCCAATCCCCCACCCTGTAATTTAGATCTGAATAAATATTAATAAATAACAAATACAATCAGTAGCAGACCAAGAAGCAGTTTGGGTGGGGAACAAGATTTATGGTAGCATATAGCTAGTAAATAGTCCCATGCTGTGTGTCTCCAGGCAGACGGACACTAGCAACAGAGGTGTAACAGAGAAAATGTGGCATATTAATATTTAATTCATGCTTCAGCACATACTTCAGTTCAATGTATTTCTACATTTTCATTTTTCCTGTACAATTCTAAGCTATCAACTTCATATCATGATTGATAGCACAGGTTTCTTGAAGAATGTTTGGCTATTGTAAAACAATCATTATACATCATGAATGGATGGACGTGTCTTAGAGACTGACCTCAATCCACTTTTGATATTCAACTGCCTGAGAAAATAAGAAAATATTCTCCATTACCAGCAGTTTTCTTCTCATAAATATTTTCTGTAATTGCTAGACAGGAATAATTTCAACCAGATGTATAAGACGTCCATTAAATAATCTGGAAAATATGTAATTAAATGAGAACTTTGTGGAGTAATGGCCAGTAGCATAGAAATATTGCTGTTCATATATGATCCCATGAATCTTTAGCCATTTTGGACACCTTCCTCAGTAGAAATACTTGTAATTGGTTTTATCAATGTAGGAGTCGAGGGTTGAACCTGCCCATATGGAGTATGAGTCCTGTGGGGTTGTGTCGCACAAAGTAGAGGAACGGCCTATCAAATCTCAGACGTGGAGCATTGGGAAGTCTTGCCTGGCGTGGTCTCAAGGCAAGAGGCAAGGAAGAAAATTCCAAATCATCCATATCATCAAAATGCACAGATCCTTTCTCTAGATTCTCATTAAGTTCCTCTCTGCCAGACCGCTGAGGGGATGTTGGGTATACTTCTACATGATGCCGTGAACTGACATTTTCTTCAGAACATGTACTGAAAGTGTTCACTTGGATGATGTCTGAAAGGTGCAAATTGTTTGCAAGACCATTGATTCCACGTAGATCAGCATGTTCAGCACTGAATAGATCTTTAAGGCCCATACGCTGTAGAGGTAAGGTGACATTAAGTAGAGAACGATGTGAAAAGCGAGGGATCTGGACTTCGAGCCCAGGTCGAGGCAGGAGACTTCGAAGTAAACGTGACCAAGCTCCATGGCGATATGAGGTTTCAATTAGACGTTGTTCAAGCCTTTGGAGTCCATCACCTGGGGCCTGTTGACCTTGCTGACCTGGTAATACCATTACCAGACTAATGAGAGAGTTATCACTGCCTATTGATGCTGCTGTAGCATCCAATACAGGTTCATATCCAGCCAGGAAACCACTGAACCACACAACTGCAGGGACTGGCACAAGCCGTCGTTGTCGCATGGCAGGCATCACAGTGAAGTACATTTCCCCATCACGACCGTAGATTGATGCCTGACTGCAGTCAGTCTGTAAGAATAGTTTAAACATTTAGCTGCAGAAATTAGATCACATGTGATTTTGTGAGTGGCATAATGAGAAGCAGTTGACCTTTCATGACTAAATAATTCTACAATATCAGGCATATGTTCACACTGGCAGAATACATTAAGCATTTCAATAATGATAAGTGAATAAAGTAAATCCACCATTTGTGGACTGTTATTCACCCAAAATATATGATATTTAATTATTTTTGTACCTGGAAGATGTTGGCACTGAATACAGCTAAGGGTGGGCGAAGCAGGATGTTGGAGCTGCGAAGATAATCAAGCACCCTACCATGGGTCTGTCGCTTAATGAGCAGGTTGGTGCGTCGTCTCACCAGGTCGCCAATTGCATTGAAGTTCACCTCTTCAACGTGACCATCATAGAATTGCTGAGCCCGCTCCTTGTAGAAATCCAGCAACTTACCCTTTGTCTGGGTGCAAAACATATCACTATTAATGTCATTTTCATATGGGCCTACTTATGAAATAATAATGATAAATAGTGTATCGCCCAGATTTATGCACATTGCATGTTGCTTGTTGTTGATATTTTTATATTTAGCTATTCTGCACATGCACTATCATTAATCTACTGCGTCTTCATGATTACTAGGCATACCAACTACAGTATCCATCACCAAACTGCATGCCTACGAGTTGGTAACTGGAATATTTTGGTGTATATATTCACATACATTCAGGAGTGAATAGGTCTATAGAAATTAATAATTAATATATTATTAAATATTATATCACTAAGAATTATATTTACATCTACTTTTCTGAATGAATTAGTAGCCTGGTATTCTTTTCCGTGTAATGATACCATGTGCAGACAGAGTCCTAGTGATGGGCTGATCCCCATGCAGAGTCTTTATATTGGTCAGAGAATTCATTTTTTCCAGATTTAATTATGAGTCAGAATAGCCCATAGGAACAGTAAAAATACAAATTTCACTTACTCACCCTGTCACTGTACAACTGCCTGATGAACACAGCTGTTGCTATGCCTTGAGTTCTGGAGATCACCAGAGACTCTGTGATGTTCCTGAACACCTGGTGTGGATTAAAGGTAACCATGTCATCTAGACGCAGGATGTCATTCATCTGACCTGAGGTTGGACCCCGAGCCCCAAGGAATACCATGGCAAGCAATGATGTGACTGCAAAAGGAGACATGACCACACTCCTTGACATGATCAATCCCTTGGTTGTAACAGCTGCCCACAGACGAAAAGCCAATTCATTGCAAAGTTCAGCAAAATGTCGAACATCTTCATCAAGTCCTACAGAACTTGCTTCAAGACCCAGATTCTCTTGAGGTGCTGGCTGAAGCTCAACTGTGGTATGTGTTTGTGGGAGCTGGAATTCCTGAGGATTTGCTTTAATCTTGGTGTCCTTTAATTTCTCTTCATTCAAACCGCTGACTTTCAACATTCCAATTGGTGCTGTGGCACTTTCTGTTGTAGTTATGACACTGATTATGGTGGCAGGTCTTGATGTGCTGCCAAACGCAGTTTTGTCTCTGATTTCATCATCATTAACCTGAGAAGGTGGTGCAGTTGAATGTTTTGTCCAACTTGTGTTATCAACAGTTGTTTTGGTAATTCCAAATTTTGTTTCTTTCTCAGGTGAATCTGTACTATTAGTCACATTAGACTCCCAATGATGGACATCTTTCTCACTGACTTCACTTCCTTTCTCCAGTGATGTCTCCATAAAATAACTTTCAATTTTAGTTTCAGGAGAGGCTATTGTTGTTTCTGAGCCCTTGTCTTGTGTAACAGGTGTGTTAGTCGTAGCCTTAGGTTCCTCATCTTGAAAGCTTGTGTTTTCTCCACTATCACTAGTGAATTCAATATGTACTGTAGTAAATTCTGTCTCATATCTTGAAGTTACCTCTGTTGTGATGTCTTCTGCAGTCATTTCATGAACTGTGTCAAGAGATTCTGTTTTGTGACCAACAGCATCTTTGATGTTTCCTTCAGTAGGTAACTCTGTTGTTAACTCATTTTCAGTCAAATTCATGTTAACTGTTGCTTCATTAATATGTATACCATCATTTTTGTCTGTAATGATTGTATCAGTTCTTGTTTCTGTTCCCTGAATTAATTCAGCATTTGTAGTGGTTTGTATAGGAATATTCAACTCTTCTGTCTGCCTTGGATCTTCTGTTGTTCCATTCTCCATCTGTGTTGTACTTTCTTCACGTTCAGTAGAAAAGGTTTCTTTATCATCATAAGATTCGTGCTCTTGAACTGAAGATTTATTGTCTGTATTGATTTTGTCAGCCATAAGGTCATCATCAGGTTTCATTGTAAAGTTATGTTGCATAGATTCTTCTGCCATTTCAGTGTCATCTTTCTTGTATTTTGTTAATGTTACTGTAGCTATTTCTATGTTTTCCTTTGTTGTCTGAATTGATGATTCAATCATATCCCTCAAAGAAGTAGTTTCAGGTATAATAGTTGTTGCAGTATTATATAGTTCATCAGTATCTGTTCCTATTGAAGTTTCTTCAACATCAAGTATACTTGCACCTTCCACATTCACTTCATTCTTAATGTTGCTTCTATGTGTATTAGGACTTGGCTGTTCTGTTGTCAGCTCAGTAAAACTGTATACCGTGCTTTCCCTCTGCTCAGTCCCATCATTTCCAGTAGTAACATCATCTACAGCCTCAAATGTAGTTTTTGTATTAGAAACAAAATCTGAATCATTGTCTCCAGAAATAGTCACAGTTTCCTCAGCATTTGGGTCTGTTTTAATAATTTCAAAACTAGTCTTTAAGGGTTTATTATTATTATTATTATTATTAGCACTCGATAATAATTCCACACTGGTATTATGTACAATGTTTACTTTAGACACTTTGCTTTGATCTTCTGAATTTGTCACTTTGTCTTTTTCCTTATTTATCCCTTCAACATCCATATCATTTTCATTTCCACCCTGTTTAAATTCTATATAATTTTGTTTCTGTTCATATTCAGTTTCTATTGTAGTACTCTCCATCATATTTTGTTCATAAACACTGCTGGCATGTTCCATTGAAAGCAATACTTTAGTTTGATCACCTGTAGTTTCCTTTAGATGTAAATTGCTGAGTTCTTGGGGTGTTGGTGTCTCTCTAATGGACTGTTTTGTGACTGCATTCTGTTGGGTTGCTTCACTATGTAGAGTTGTTGCAGACAGATCCTCATTTGTTGGTGAACTATGGTCAGTATTTATTGATTCTGTCATTAAACCATTGTGTAGTAGTGTAATGTTGGTCTGTGGGATACCATTTGCTGTACTGTTTGGAGATGAATAAATACTGCTTTCAGTTGAGCTAATGCCTTCAGTAACACTGTGTTTCGTGCCTGTGGTGCTAAGGCTGAAAACATATAAACCACTTTCACCATAGTCAATTGTTGTAACAGCACCTTCTACATCAGCAACCTGAGATAAGACACCCAACACTGATTCTGCTAGTTCTGGTGGCATATCCAAATTTTCATTTGCAGATGTTGGCAATGGTATTGCTCCAACAGGGGATTCGATTTTCACTGGCACAAACCCTGAAGCTTCATTTATCAACAGACTTTCATCATTGTTTTTCCACGTACTTGATGACAGTGGTACCTCTGTTGTTGTTGTTGTTGTTGTTGTTGTTGTTGTTGTTGTAATTGAGTTAATATTTTGTGCATTGATTTTGATAAACTCTTCAGTTGATGAACCATCATTTTTGTTGTTAATCACTGCCAAGCTTGTCTTTGTCTCCAGTGGGTTGGCAGTACTGGTTTGTATAGAACTACTACTAGTGTGAGGTGGTTGAGTCCTAATCTTTGTAATGTCCACAATTGTTGGAGTAGATTGGACTGGTCGTGCAGGCTTCTTGTTGTGATCTATACCTGTAGATGGTCTATATGTTGTATTGCTAGGCTGAACATATTCTGTTGGCAAGGGCTGTGTTGTGGAAGAAATATTACTGGCTGATGTGAAAAAATTGAGGAATTCTTGTGAAGATGAAATGTTACCATGCGTTGAAGATTCTGAAGATGATATCATGACCATTGCTGGTTCCAAAATTTCACTATTTTCATGTTCCAGTATGATACTATTATTGCCAATACTTGATGCTGTTGAGATTGCAGAATTTGTGGGAGTAGTAGTTCTCTCAACATGTGATGAGGGAGTCTGGTAAGGAACTGTGGACACACTAACAACCTTCTGTGATAATGTACTTATTACATTGTTGACAGGAATTTTTGAAGGTTTGGTCGAGGAAGTCAAAGGCTGCTGAGTTACAGAAGATGTGGCACTAACATCTACAGACTCAGTTCCTACACCTAATGAGGTTGATGAAATTTTGGACGTGGATGAAGACAAATGGGATGTGAAAATTGGTTTCTGTGTTGTTGCTGTTGTTATGTGGTTGTCACCAATTATGGGTTTGCTGAAAGACCCATTTTGACTGAATGGCTTGTTTTTGTTAACACTCAATGAGTCTTTCAGAGGAGGATTAGTAACTGTTTCTACTACACTGGAGTATGAATTGGTCAGTGAGGGTGGTTGTGGTCTGTGTGGTGGTGTAGTTGACACCGTTGGTGAAGCTGACAGTTTAGATGGCAACAATGTTGGTAATGATGATGACTGTGGATGAGGTGTTTCTGATGAAACTGACAGTGATGTTAATATGGATGGCAATGTTGTTGATGATAGTTTCGTTGATGAATGTGACAGATATGAAGGTTTTGGTGATGATGAGTATGACACAAACTGTGCTGAAGAAGAAGCTGATGATTGTGTTGTTGGTGATTTTGTTGATGAGAGCATTGGTGAAGATGATGATGATGATGAAGAAGAAGAAGAATAATAATAAGATGATGATGAAAGTGGTAACAAAGTTGGTACATGAGATGTTGGTGATGAATACAAAGATGGCGGTTTACTTTGGACATTTACTGAATTGCTGGCAGGTTGGTCCACATGTACTATATCTGAGGACACAGGAAGCAATGGTTTGTGATTAGTTGAGGCTTCTGAACTGTTCTTATATTTTTGAGTAGTAGTCAAAGGAATATTTTCTGTAACATGTGAAGGGGTTCCAGTTGAAGTGTTACCCAATTTTTGTGTGGTGTTTATAATAGGACTACTAGATGAGTAAGTGGACTGACTGGCAACAACAGGAACAATACTAGTGTTATTTATAATTCCAGGAAGAATCACACCCCATGATAAAGATGAATCTGAAGGGGCCACTGTCATTGGTGTTTGCAGAGAAGGAATTGGTTTGGGGGAAGGTATTTTGTTCTTTGAAGCTTCTAGTTCACCTTTTAAGACATTCTGCACACTAACAACAACATCATGAACTCCTGGTACAATTGATGAAAGTTCTCCAATGTTAGTTGCTTCAGCTTCCTCCACTACCTTGTCTGTGACTGTAGATGATGCAGAAGGAGCAAATTCTATAGAATCTGGTGGAAGATTCTGGTGGTAATAGTTTGGAAAACCTGCTTCCCCAAGTTCCGTCTCACCATTAGCGATGATGCTTTGAATTTCCTCTAGGCTCATAAGACGCTTGATGAGGTCTCCTGCTTCATCAAACGTGTAGAATTCATAGCGATCAGGGTTCAGGAGACCTGCTGGGCTTCCCACCATGGCCGCTGCTGTTGGTTTTGATACAGGACGTCCAGCAGCGTCTGCAAAGTATTTCTTTGTGCCATTTCCCAAGTCCATGATCACAGATACTGATGTCACCACACTGTGGGCAAGTAAATTAGAAGATTAAATTTTAATAACTGCAATTCAAGATGTCAACAAATCATTCATTACTTTTGAACAGAACAGCCACTACTCTAAAGTGGGAGTTATACAGCTCTGATAATCTGTTTTATTTCTGATAATTAGCTTGCAATGAATTTGATTAGTTGAACGAAAGTAACCTGGCAGCATAACTGGCTGTACACACAGCATAAATCAGTAAATATGCAGAAAAGAGTTTTAAATAAAATATGTGGATAGTACAGGAAGTGAAAATTCTACAGTTTAAACATCTAGGACTGAGACAGTCTAATGACAGCAACATTCCGCACACCAGCTACTGAAATATGTTTTAGGCCTACTGTTAGAAATATTTTAGTCCCCTATAACATGTTTTCTTTGTAAATCTTGTAATTTAACTACTTTAGTGCAGACCCATTACATCACGATGGATACCAGTACAAATCTTACATGTGTATGTTGGTGGTAGTGATAATAATAATGCTATGCCAGTCAGACATAACTGATTGCAGTTGACAGTAAACCCTAAATTGTCATTTTAATCATCTTGCTTTATCACTAAAGATGACTACAGAAATGCAGAAGTAGCAGACTGAAAAATACAGTTAATATAAAAATCTAGCTCAGACGTAGAGTAGATCTTCAGCATAAAGCAGTCTTTCCATATACTAACTTATACTGGCTCAATGTCTGGTACATTAACAGCTATCAAGTTTAATATGAAAGTCTATGAGTCCATAACCAATATCAATATAATCTGGATAAACAAATCAGATTACTCCATTGTATCTTCCTTGAAAAAGTTGGAATTTATGAATTGTACCATTTAATATTATTATTTTATTTCTGTATAATGTACCTCAGACTTAGATGTTTGTAAAAGCTCCTATGAAGTGATTTTCTTTAGTCTTCATTTCAAGTGCTGGGTAGGTTTAATTATATGGCAGTTTATTACTTCTACACATTTGTTTTCACCTGGACCCTAAGACGCGTCGGGACTCCTCTGAGTCCTTCTCCTCTGGGCTTGTGAAAGGTAGAGCAAGTGCTGCAGTGCAGCATAGCAGCAGGGGCAGCCAGCGCCTGGGCATGGCTGCGTCTTGCATCACTTGTCCCTCTTTCTTAGAAGGATACTGAATGTATCTGGAACAGAAAGACCCGGTAGTTTGATAATTTTTAATGTAGAAAGGAACAGTGGGGACTGTCCGAGGACCACTGACTGGAAATTATTATTCTTAAAAACAGTCATATATGAATACGGAATTTAGGCTTTTTAAATGAAACAAGTTACCCTGATTTATTAATTCTCTCAAAGACCCTCAATCTTTCGATCTGGCGAATACTTTACGAAATAAAATTAAAATAATTTCTCGCTCTCTTTAATTTGATTAGCTTTCTGACGACATATATACAACAAATAATGAAAAAGGAGACCAATTATGTAATAGATACAGCAGCAAAAAATTCTTTTGGACAACGTCTGTGTTTGGCGCACCCATATCATTACTATTGCAGTCCTACAATTCGAAGTGGATCAACATGTTCAGTCCATGTCCGTCTGGCTACAACCGCGTCTGGGACAAGTCATTTGCTGAATACAAATGCAGGGCCATTCAGAAATAACTTCTTGAGTTACTCAGGGTGTTACGGTGTTGGGAGACGAATCGTAACTGCAAATGGTGCTTCACTATTTCCGTTTTCGTCTGTTCACACCGAAGGCCACTGAAAACGAAGGCGTAACAGGAAACTACTCGCGCTGTTTAATAAATGGGAATCCCTAAGAAATGTATGTTACATGCATCTATGATACATACTATTTCTCTTGGTTTATTTAAAGACGCCTTTATCTGTGTAGATTATGTAACGCCGAATAGTAGGATGATTCGATGAGGAACTAGGAGGATGTGAATAGAAAAAAGACTGAATAAAACCACGATAAAAGTGAATCGATATTTGAAAGAGTAACCTCCTGATATTTCAGGTTCTCACGGCGGTAAGTGTGAAGATGACTGGAATATTGCGCCTTGCAGTCTGGTAGAAATTAACCGACGATTCATAGGTGTTTACCGCCCAGTTCAATAGTGGTCCTGATAGTGGAGGCAGTAAGCATCTCTGAAACGCCAGTCATTTTTTTCCAGACTACAAGATGTAATATCCCAAATACAAACATCTTCGTTTACCAACTCCTTCACTTTTTTTTTTTTTTTGTAATCTACGTGAATGTCTGCGAAGACTATATAAAAATGCTGCACTCCATTCAAGTTTGAGGTATGTGAACTTCAAGAACAAGATACAGTTTCATATGTATTTCTCACGTTTCGTGTACTTGATGTGGTCAAGGACCGTGAAGTCTTACGACTAACGGCGCTGTTCTGATTTGGATTTTAGATTCTCACGGTGGTGAGTACGAAGATGGCCGTCTTCTGGGTTGAAGCGCCGTGTAGTCACGTAGAAATTTACAGACGTTCCAGGGGCCTTGCTGCTCCATCGCCCTCATTATGGAGGCAGTGAGGACCTCTGAAACGTTGATAAACTTCTGCCAGACTACACGGCGCTACAACCCAGACAGAACCATCTTCATGTTCTAATTCGTTTCGCTCCTGTACCTAATAGTGTCCACGTATGGCTGGGAAAACACTGTTGTGAGAAATTTAACATTTCCTCTGATCTCTGTATTAAAATTAAAGCATCACATGGACACTGAACATCCTAAATTTCTCCGAAAGCGTTTTTATTTTGCAAAAACAGAAATGTTGAACTCGGAGAAATTACACTTTTCACAAATTGGTAAAACATATTTTTGTTCTGCCTGTGTTTCTATGGCATGCTTGTTGAACGCAGTATGAACTGCCAAACGCTAACAAATACACACAGGGTTTCGTAAAACACATATTTACTTTCGTAAGACATGCACGAGCAAAAACGCCACTTTACTCAAGTATTTATGCGTTTTAGAGATGTTTACAGGTACATAATTTATGTCAATGACCCTTGCGTTATCTCATCTTTCTATAAGAATATATCCCTCGAAGTGAAAGAAACTGTTTCCTAGACTACGTACGTTTCTTCTGATCAGTGGTACAGTTAAGATCAGGCTTGCCAAATAAGGGAGTGGTAGCTTCTTCGGTCGTGACATGAACAGCTAGCCACGTGGCTTGTCTACCCTGCGGTTTCTTTCTTATATTATTCCTCATGAATGTGTGTGTGTGGGTCACTGGAACCGCAAATCGTAAATACCGCAGTCGCTACAAACTGCTAAAGAAAGAGACTGCCGCCTCATTTATCAGGAAATATTAATGTAAGACCGCGTTTAGAGAACTGACAATAAGGAAAAGTTTCAATCTCTTATAAGAAACAGCATTGTTTATACACAACCATAGCAGAATGCAAACTGAAAGTATTCAAATGACGTTTATCCACGCATAATATTAAAAATCTGAGAAGAAATAATATTTTCATTGCAGCGAGTGTGAAGTCTTCTGGGTACTTTCGCCGTGTAGTCTGTTATAAGTTTATCAACGTTTCAGTGGTCCTTACTGCCTCCATCATCTAGGTTCCCTGACGACGGATGTAGCAAAGAAGTTGCTTTCTTAGTTGCTAGTTTGAAAACCTTAGTATAGCCAATCTATGGCCAATATTTTTAACATACGAAGCAAACTACAAACTGCCACAAGATAAAATGCGGGGTAAATTAAATAAACATACAGTTAACTATGCATATATCCTTGCGTGTAAATAAATGCAAATCCTGTACATATACAATACTAATGATACAAATATACTTACAGGTACCACTTTAGTAAATAATGAGTAAGATTTTTAAGCCAGGTGACAATTTCTAAGAACTCAGTACAGCCTGGATACACGTTACATTCAAAGTGCTGTGACTGTAGTTCATGTTGTTTACCCCTTCTTCCATGAAATAGGCTCCTTCAGAAGCTAACAGTCACTTAGCCAGTGAAAAAATTTCCTGTCTCTTTTTGGAAGTCGAATATTTATTACCTTCTTCACAAGAACCCGCCGCTGGTTGATATCCCCAGCCAGAATAATCTTATCCACACAATCCCATCCTACAGAAGCATTTTTAATGTCATATTTACATGTACAGTGAGTTCTTTCAAGTGGTCTCTTCCGTTCAGGTTTTCGACAAAAATTCTGTGTAGTTCTGTAGCTACATTTTAAAACATGCAAAAGCGAAGACACAATTCTGAACCTGGTTAAGATTTCGGGTTCTGACGGCGGCAAGTAGGAAGAAGACTTGTCTTCTGGATGTTGCGTCGTATAGCGCGGTAAACGTTTACTGACGTTTCAGAGATGACAGTTCCCATCAACAGAGTGCCCTGATGAAGGCATCAAGCGTATCTGAAACGTCGATGAATTTCTACCATACTGCAAGGCGCAACATCCCAAAAGACATTCATCTTTCAATTTTGATATGTGAGGTTCTCACTGCTGTGAAAGTTTCGAGGTTGATCTTCATGGTTTTTGAGGAAGGATCATGGCTTCATCCTCCGAAATGTTGGCATCTACGTAGATACATGTCCTTGTGGCGTTACATCCCAGAAGACCAACATAGATAATTCTGAACTTAATGGTCGCTGTCCTTACTCCTTCCTTGTTATAAGATTCTGTTTGCTTTGTGACTTCGTCCACAGCTGAGAGAGCTGAACTGTACGTAAGATGGAACATAACTGATTAAAGCTTTGTCTTGGTAAACAGAACAGCAAAGCGGTCACTCATTCGTTTCGTCAAACTGTACCGTTATTTTCCGATGGCTGCGGGTTAAGATAGTTTCTTATCCTTGAGATTCCAGTGATCTGACAGACAGCTTGAGCATTATTTCTCATTAGGATGCTAAACGCAGAGTTCCATTCCGGTACATTGGCCTTCAAAACGGCGAGAAACAGAATGATCTATACATTTCGGTCAACGGTGTCTTATTTGTTTAGTTACCTGCTTCTGGATTTATAGACTATCATCATCAACCGAACTTTGTACACGGTTATAGCAGCCGACTATTCGACTGTCAGTTATGCTTCTTTCTAAATGGTGAATTCCGCCAAAATATTAGTTAATTTGAGAACAGTGCTTAAGCCAAGCAGAAGTATTTAAGGAAAAAGCGGGGGGGAGAGGCTTTGTATTTCCCGAAAAATGGAAGATAGCCAAAAAGAGTTAACATCGAAGGTACTTTGTGAGATTCCAGGTTTCCAGACTTTTCAGATGTGTTTCCTGACTCAATCATCAAAGCAGTGATGATAGAAGCAGCAAGCTCATCTGAAACGTCGGAAAACTTCTAACACACTTCATTGCGCAACAGTCCATCTTCATACTCACCACCGTGAGAAACTAAAATATACTAAACCTACTTTAAAGCGGCTAGTTCCTTAAGTTTATACAACACATACACACAATTAGCACCTCTTTCAGACAAAATAAACCATAGGATCAATTTATACAGAAAGTAACTTTAGAATTGCTAACTTTATTATATTTATAACAATTATAATTACACACTAAATTAACTGTAAGCACTTTTCATTTTATTTTATTTTCTGTTTACGTTCGTATGACCTGCAGCCTATCATTTTGATATACTCTTTCAAAATACACGTATGTTCGCTAATGAAATATAATTTAAAACGCGAAAGTCTGGGTTCTTCAAACCTGCAGTCATAGAAGTGTCAGTCCGTGCAGGTAATAGAATTTTGATAACAAACTGCTCCTGACAACTTTATTTTAGACGAGAAATTTCATGTTGCTGATTTACCTATTTCTTTACCCAATAGAAAAGTAAATTAGCCTATATAAATGTTACATTCTAAACCATTAACTCTGAACGAGATCCTGTTACAACGTTTTTTAAACTGAACTATTATTTAAAATAAGTTAGTTAAAAGTAAGATAAAAGTAAATATGGCTCAATAAAAGTGCGTAAAATTACGTAAACAGAGTAGCTTTGGCAAAAATTCTATACGGCGCCAAAACCACGAACGTTATCATCTTCATCGCCGTGGAAACCTGGAATCTTACAACTTTAATTTATGAAACCCAAGAGCTACGTGCAACACAGTGACATTTCTACCACAAATAAAGTGGTACAAAATAAAAAAAATCATTCAAAAACACACCTGAGCACTCTTGTT